GAATAAATTATTGCTCTACTATCGCTATTGAAACTTCTTTTGAATTAATCCTTTTTTTAATGCTTTTTGAATTAATGTTTTTTTTTGTCGTTCGTAAATTGTTTTTGTGTATATAAAATTATAATATATATATATGTATACATATATATATATATATATATATATATATATATATATATATATATATATATATATATATAAAGTGAGGACATAGGAATCAAGGTTGCATCTTCTTTCTCAGCTTCAAAGGTATTTTCGGATTAATCGTTGGTCTAAACATAACATTTAAGCATCAAACTAGTAATCAGCGTGAAATTGTCATACTTTCCTCTGCCTCTATATCATAGATATCATCGATGTCAATATATATATATATATATATATATATATATATATATATATTGATTGTATATATATATATATATATATATATATATATATATATATATATATATATATATATATACACAATCATGCCAATATATATCAAACTTGTCACAACATTACATAGAATCTAAACATATGAGCCTGTTGTTAATATTTCGTTCTCTTATACGGTACGTCATAGAACCACATCACTAATTTATGAATAATATATCATCATAATATTCATCGACCGTTATTGCCGCATATCAACCTTCTTTGTCAACATGAGAGACTATCATCTTTGATGGTGAATATCTTTGTTTAAATGACTCACGTGAACCGTATCTTAGATCAAGGGATAGCTCATTAAAAAAGAATTCTTTATTTTCTCCCGAAATTAATGCAAATATACGAAACTGAGAGCGGCTCAGAATCATACATAACAGATATTCGTTGTTATATTTAACAATATATATATATATATATATATATATATATATATATATATATATATATATATATTTTTTTTCATTATTCGGACTATTGTCCTCATCTTTGTCGCCAAATTTACTACAATGTTTCGGCCGTTGTACGCTCCGGCCTTCTTCAGATGGTTGGAATGTTGAACTTAACCCTTTATTTCGCTCTATTTCTAGTTCATGTTTAATGGATCTCAGTTATCTCCTGTAAATTTTCCCTCTTCAAGTTCTCCACGGCCTTAACTGGGTATTGAACACACACTCTTTGGATCCTGTGACTGGATCTAACCAACGCCCTTATCCACTGTGCCATGTGTCCTTGAGGACATCTGTGTATGAATTTCTGGGTATTATAAAGAGTGTGAGTTCAAGATTATTTTCTCGTGATATACATATCTGCACATTTTTCTTATCAGAAACATAAACAAAGCTTTTTCTAAAGAATCAATAGATTTATTTTTAATCCGACATTTTTATTCACTATAATAAAGTTTGATGTAGTAAAAATGTAGAAAATAAAAATGTATCCATTTATTCTTTATATATTTTTAAGTAAATCAACCCAAGCAAGGCAGGAGTGCCACTAGTACACAAGGGGTTACAGAGGATTGAGAACAAGAGTAAAGAGGATTGTTTTGCAAAAGGCTAAAGTGAAGGACAGAGATCAAGGTCAAGGCAGCAGAAAATATAGATAGACATTACATTTGAATATTTGATGATTATAGCTATCAGGGAAGCAAATGATAAGAAGGGAGTTCTACTTACGTGATGTGTGAGATAAGAAGCTGTCGTGGAAGAACAGATGGCTACATTTAGCCGTTTCGTCAGTGAAAGGGCGGGAACGAGATGCCAACCTAGTAGCGCGCTTAAATTGATGAGTTTGGAAACCAGTGAAAGTAGCTCATCGGAGCAGTTGCCATGAAAATACTTGTAGAAAAGACAGGGGAAACCGTAGCATGTCTGTGAGAAAGTGACTATAGACGGGATGCGAGATCAGGACCAATGCCGTTGCATATCCGTGTCTGGACTTTGTCGAGGTCTTCGAGATGAACAGCGGGAGTAGCAGACCATATATGGCAGCAATATTCCACGCAAGAACAAGTGGTTGATTTGGAGGTTTGCAGGTTGGACTCAGGCGGGAAAAACCTTCTGGCGAGACACAGAGATCCAACTTTCCTTGCGGTAGATGAAGCTATAGATTCAATATAGTTGTTCCACGTCAGGTCAGTGGAGAGCGTGAGACCAAGCAGCCACAGAAAGGCATCAGCAAATCTGATAGGAGGCATGGAGAGTACTCGATGGTGGGTAAATGGGTACAGTTTCGTTTTAGAGGCATACAATTTTCATGCCTGGTTAGTTTTGTCAACGATGCCGAATTTACTATTGAGGCAGGAGGAAATATTAATGTCGTCAGCGTAGACAACAACTAGTCATATTGGTAGCAAAATGACCTAAAGTAATAGTAGCAGAATATCATCGTATGTGACATGGACAGAAAGGAGCTGGCGCTGACTGCAACATGAAGTGGCCTCAGGGTTGCCCACCGGAGGCACGTGTAGGGACACCATTCCATACGCGACATATCACTACAAGCACCCTGATATTATGCAACTATTTATCAGAGCAGCCGCTCAAGACTCTATGCAAGAGTTAGTGCCCCTAATATATATATCCAAATGAGAGGAAGAATGGATTAAGTAAAATTCCGCTGTTCGTAGCATTTACTTTAAAAATGTGCTCAATAAAAAGTAGAGCAAAATATTATTATTATTTTATCATAAGAGCTTATAACAAAACTTGTCGAAAATGTTAAACAATAGATTTGGTGTTTTGAAACACGAAAGTTATTGTGTAGCGATGTCAACATGTTTTTATATAATAACATATAATAATGA